GACAACAAAGAGTTATATACACTTGATATATAGACAATCAGGTCTATCAATCCACAAAAGTTTATGCTATGCTTAGTTTTGTCAGTCTTGACAGGACTTTTTGTTTTCTTAAAATCCTGCACTCTTGCTGAATCACTGAAGATGTTAGGACTGACTAATTCAGAAGAGTTCTGCTCATTATTTAATATTGTATATGTCAGTGTGGGCTTTATTTTGTATGGGTCATCTTTCAGATTTGTAGAGTTTAATCCCATAAACAACCTTTAGGGGGAAAAACTTGAGTTTATATAGCCTCTAAGCACTATGCCAGGTGTATCATCACACCATAGCTCCTGATTAGACTCAGAGAGTTCTGGGTTCTAATACTATTCCTAAATATTATTCAAACATATTTTAATATTAATAATGAGTTGTGATTTTAAGCATACAGTAGTTTTTAGCTGTTGTATGACACCTTGAATCCTTTCATTGGGAGAAAGGCAAGATATAAATAAAGTAAATAAATAAATAAATAAAATCCTCATTTAGTTATGAAGTTTACTGAGAGACCTCATGACAATACAACAGCAATTCTAGAAACATTTATTTTAGGAGAAACTCGATTGGAAACATACCTTTGAGTAAAGACACACAGGATTGCCCTTCTTAGTTACAGTCCATCACTGTAGGTCTCGCACCATCCTATGACAACAAATCATGTGTATCGTTCATTGCAGCTGGAAGACGAGTGAGACAAAAATTGGTGGGAGAGCAGCAAGCAGGTGGCAGAAATGGGTGGCCCTCCTGGCAGATGGCATTATGGGTCACCTTCTTGGATCTGTTTCTTGATAAGAGAGACATACTCTGCTTCAGAAAGGAGCCAAGTTATTTCCTCATCTGTTTGGCTGCCTTGATGACACTTGTCCCATGCTCCAGATGTGCCTTGCAAATATGCCATGCCATGCATCCAACTGGCCTTGCTGAATAACACACCTCTGAAGCTGCCCCGTGTTGAGAAAATTAACAAGCCCCACCAAAAGAGAGAACAAAGCATGAACAACCATCCACAGAGGCCATGTCATCGAAATGATGGCCACCTCATTCCGGTGTCCTGACCACTATGGCTGCCATGGAGGTAGTCTGAGCTAAGTTTAAACATGGACATTATGATGTCGTAGATGATGTCACAAACAGGACCACCAGGTTGAGAGTCTTGGCCAACTGGGAAACAGTTAATTGTCAGGCCAAGCCTAAACACTGGCAAGATGTTATGACAGCACTCATTTGGAGCTACATACTTCAGCACTGGATATGATGGCTTTCTGGGCCAACAATATAGGGCTTGACCACACTGGTCAAGATAGATTGGTATATAGATTGGCATATAGATTGGTACATGGATCACAGGTACTACAGTCGGGTGTGAACCAAATGGCATTGTCCACACGTGTTTCTACCGGTATCAATCATTCCTGCCTCTTTAAGAGGTTTGTGCACCTTTCTGGCACATCACTAGGGCTCGCATTCTTTTTGGTACAATTCAGCGTGGTCCTAATTAGCTCACTGTGTAACCTGTATGGATGGTTAGCTCATACCCAAATGGAGCTGTGGGTTATATTATCTGAAATGACAACGATGTGATGTAATAGGAGGATTATTATTTGGTTGAAACGAACAGCCCTTGTGCAAGATAAAGCTGGGATGGTTTGCATGCTCTGTTAAAATGGAGAATGGAACAACTAAGTCCAAATAAATAAAATAGAAATAAAACTCTCCCCTCTCTTTTCATCTTCCTTTTTATTGTAATGTTTCCCTAACTGATGCAGCAAAATTCTCGTGCTATGCTAGGTTGATGCATTGCTCATTACTTGCTTTAATTGACCAAACAATAACAAAAGGAAAGCCACTGAAGCTGGCTGAATGAGAGCTACAAGAAAAGGCAGGAAAGGGGGCTATATGGCTTCCATGGGCTCTACCCCCACAAAGCAGTTCAGCCCCAAAACAGCCACTGATGAGAAGAAAGGCAGGAAAGGTGGGGTTCTCTCCCTTCCTTCTCCCTCACCTTCACCCCAATCTTTTCCCCTTATTATAACACCA